AGCCCACCCTGGGGATGCCCCCGAGGGAGACGGGGATTTCGGTCTCCATGAGACTGCCCACACGGGCGACAGTTCACCCCGGGGCAGATGCTGCAACGCAGACACCTGCCCCAGGAAACTGAGCCAGAGCCAGCAGCCCACTTCACACGAGTCACCGGGCAGCTGTGGGGCAGCTGTGGGGCAGCTGTGGGGCAGCTGTGGGGCAGGTCCAGTCCCTGCCAGCGAGCAGGAGCTCAGGACAGCTCTAGCGGTCAGCATGCCACTCCCCGTGCCCCACGTCAGTGAGACGGGGAAGAGCGGGGAGGGACCCCAGGACATACCCCCGCCCCACAGTTGCCATTTAAAATGGGGGCCTCCCCTGGCCACGTGGGCCCCAAAATGTGGAGTTACAAGCCCACACATGGACCTTTCCAGTCACAGGTCGGCTCAGCCCTGAGCTGACCTGTGGGTGCCCTGGGGGCGTCTGGGCTGTTCTAACTGCGTCCCAGGAAGGGGTGGTTGGCTGCGAGGGGCTGTCAGAACAGGCTTGGGGCCTAGGCAAAGCACAGCCATGCAGCAAAGATCCCCCCGCAGCCCCTGGCACCAGGGGTTTCCCAACCGGCACCACCACACCGGGGTGTGACACGCTGTGGGGGACCCACATACCTCCCTCATGCCCCCGGAATGGTCCAGGGAGAAGCCAAGCATCAGGGCAGCCTGGGTCAATCCCACCACATCCTCCTCTTGCCTGACGAGATCTGACTCTCCCCCCCTTCCCCACCCCTCCCTGGCACCAATTCTGGCTTCACCCACAGAGTTCTGGGTACTGAGCACCTGCCAGGATCAGCCCACAGCTGCCATGGCCAATGCCCAGGCCAGGCGGGTCCCAGCCCCACCAGTCACCGAACCCTGCAGCCCCCTGCCCTCAGGCCTGGCAGGGAAGAGCCCCCCCGCTCACCTGGCTATCCGGGAGAGGATCTCCTTGATGCGCACGACCAGCTTCTCGTGCTGGAGCGGGTTGCTCTCGATGGCGCTGTGCAGTTTGGCCATGTAGAAATCCAGGGTACCCAGCGTGGGGGTCTCTCCGGTGCCTGGGGACAGGGGCCTGGTTAGCAAAGCGCTGGATCCCGGCTGGACCCGAGCCCAATGCCCCCAGAGGCCAGCTGCAGCGATGCCCGGGCAGCCCTGTAGGGGTCAGGACTGGCACTCCATGGAGGGGGGCAGGATGCCTTGTCTGTGGTCCTTTCCAGGGCGTTTCTAGCTGGGCGGAGGGCTCAGCTCTGAGGCCCAACCCCTTCATCCCCTGCAACCTCTGGGTCCAACCACAGCTGGCCCTTCACCCCTGGAGTGAGACCCCCACGCCAAGGCCGCGTCTGCTCTGCCAAAGACACTTTCTCCGCCCTCTGCCCCCACCTGCTGGCTGCGTGCTGAGCCAGCCACACTCCAGCCTAGGCGGGGCTACACTGTCACAGTGCCAAAGAGACTCCTTTCTTCAGTGCCACCACAGGGTGCTTTGAGATAAGAGAGAAAAGGAGGGAGATTTCTGAGGCCCCATCTCCAGCCACCCCCCACGTGCAGAGTATCAGACCCCCTGGGCACCCGCTTCTAGTGACAGCCCACCCGACAACCAGCAGTCTGCTCAAGGAGGGGATCTCTGTAGACTGTGTTCCCATGATCCTCCTCTCTCTGCCTCCTGGGCTCACCTGGGATGGGGAGAGAAGCGAAGCTGGTGGTCAGGGCCTGCCGGACAGACTGGAGCTGCTGCTGCAAGGCCAGCGTCTGCCTCTCCTCCAGTGCCAGCTCCTGCTCCAGCTTCTCCTTGGCGCAGCTCATGCTCTCCGTGTGCTTCTGCAGGATGGCGTTCTGCTCCTCAAACTCCGTGTTCATCTTCCGCAAGCGCCGCAGCTCGGCCTCCCGCGCTGCCCCACCGCAGACAGGAGGGAGGGTCAGTGCAGAGGTTGGGGGAGAGGCCAGCTCCCCCCAGCTTGACACAGGCCTGGGGCCAACGCAGGGCTCACACAGCAGTACCATCAGCGACTTCGGTTGCGGCAGAGCCCAGAGGCCCCAGCCAGGATCAGGGCCCCATGGCGCTAGATGCTGCCCGTGTTCTCGGCCCATCAGCCCCCGCACCTGGCCCCTGCTGGGCCAACTGAGGTGGAAGTCAATTCCGGGCAGGATGCTGGGATCAGCGACTCTGTTCCAGGGCTGCCTGGCACCCTGCCGTGACGCTGACAGGATCAGCAGGTGCCAGCCAAGACCACAGGCTGCGACTCCCCCACCCTGAACTCGCCTTGGGGCACTAAGGGTTGCATGTGCCTTGCTGGGAAAGATCAGGCATTGCCCAGCCACATGGGCCAGGGTGGGATCAGCTACGGCAAGCCCCAGGGGTCTATTTACACCAGGGATCCTGGGCCCGCCCCCCGCTGGGAGAAGAGAGCACTGGGCACCACGGTCTCTAGCCTCCCCCTCCCCTGGCCTGCGCTGTGTCGCTGATAGTATTCTAGAGAGCCCCACTGCGCTCGGCGCTGTGCAAACACAATGCAGGACGGTCACTGCCCCACCAACGTTAACCCCCCCCCCCCCCTCCAGGCTCGGTACCTTTGTTCTGGTCCAAGAACTCCTCGGTGAAGATGGGCACGTCAAACGTGGAGAAGCCGTCCCCGCCGCAGTCCCCGCCCTGGCCGGGAGCAGATGCAGGTTAACGGCCAGTGGCCAGGACAGGTCGACTCTAGCCCGAGGGATGAACTTCCCTTTGCCTGGGCTGGGTTTCTGCCTCCCCTGGGGTCCACACACACGGCCCCTGCTCTGCTTCAGCTCAAGGATGGGGGAGGCAGTGGGGCCTGCCAGTCCCAACACATGGCCCAAGGGAGCTGGTGGGTCCCGCATGGGCCGAGCAATAGTCCCGGGCTCCCCCCAACAGGCCGGGCCAAGCCATAGTCCCCAGCCGTGGCAGCCTGAAGGGTATTTTAAAGGATGCACAATAACTCCGCCCCCGGCTGTTACAGGCTCAGCTCCACATGCCACGGCTGAGCAGTTCTGTCTAATCCCAGTCTGCAGCCAAACCCCCCTCATGCCCCTCTGCTAGGGCGGGGTCACATGCAGCAAGTCTGCCAACGGCCTGAAGGACATTAGGGAGGTGTCAGGGGACAGACAGGCAGCCCCTGCCACGGTCAGTGAGTGTTTGGGCACGGGGGGGACAGGCATGGACTGAGCAAGCAGCATCACCAGGGGGGAGGAAGGGGCAGGACACATCAGTGAGCGAAGGGCCATACAGCACGAGCCGGACACGCCTCACACCAGCCTAGTGAGCCCTGCACGGAGTCAGGCCCCACTTCTCCACTGCCACCCGCCCAGTCCGTGGCAGCCCTGGCAAGGCCCATGCAGCTCGACAGGATTTACCACCTCATGCTCTACGAGGGGCTCTGTGCTCCTCTGCTTCACTTCCCCAGCTGGCACCTGGCACCTAGCCCCTCTCCTGGGCACTGCCCACCCTCACAGAGCCGCCAGGGGCCTTACCTTGTGCGGGTGCCCGTTCAGCAGAGTGTTCACAGACACAGAACCAGCATCCTCTGGGGGCACAAAGAGGTCAGAGGTTACTCACCTCATCCTGCTGTGCCAGGCCCACCCTGCCAGCCACAGAGGGGGACGCTCCCAGCCCCTTCCCCACCCCAGTGTCAGCGGGGGGCAGGGCAGAGTGCACCATGCTGTGCTCAGGGGCCCTGCCAAAGCCCAGCCCCACACGCCCCCAGCACCAACCTTTCTTGATCTTCTTCTCCTGGATCTTCTCTGTGCACATCTTGTAGGCCTCCGACTGCTGGTACTCCCGCAGCTCCTTCATGTACTGCTGCTTCTCACGCTCCGCCTCGTCCAGGTACCGCTGAAACCACCCGGGGTCAGGTGGGCACGCCCCACAGAGCAGGGAAGGGGGGCGAGGTGCAGCCCTAAACACCACCCCAGAGCCTGGATCCCAGCGAGGGGCCCAGCAAGTATTCCAGGGCGTGACTCCAGGAGTCAGGGCCCTGCTCCCCTGGATGCCAATGGCAGCTGAATCAGGTAGCCACACGTTCTGACTGACACCCCGGCCTCGCTGAGGTTGTATGCCCTGCAATTATGGAAGGGAACGGACCCCAGACCCACAGCACAGCAGCCAATTAGGGTACGTCCCGCAGACCCCGGTCCAGATGCAGCCTATCCTACTCGAGGTGCAATCCTCAGCCAGCCCAACAGCCTGAGTGGGTCTGGAGCGTGGCTGTGACCCGGGTCCTAGCTGGATGTGGCTGGGCTAACGCGAGTGTGTCACCTCTGGACGCCCCCCACCTCCCGCAGTACCTGCTTGTCTGTGGGCTGCAGTTTGCTCCATTCGGCTCCCAGCATCTTGGTGATCTCTGGGAAGGGCAGGTCGGGATGCTGCATGCGGATCTGCTCGCGGCGTTCATTCAGGAAGCGGACGTAGCCGGTCACTGGGGCCTTGGGGCCATTGGGCAGGATCTTCTTCCTCTTCTTCCCTTTGGGCCAGCCCCTCTTCTTCACTGGCTGTCGCCCCGCAGCAGGGGAGGGAAAGAAACCAATCAGCACGCTGGACTGGAGCTCACTAAGTGACTGTGTCCGCAGGGGGAAGGGAGGGACAAAGCACCATGCAGCCCCCTGCAGTTAGCCCTCCCGAGGCCAGGACTCCTGGCCTCTCTTCCCAGCCCCGTGCTGCAGCCACAAGCCCCTGCACCATCTGCGGCAGCCTGGCACACTGCACGGCTACGCTAGGACTACTGCAGGGTAAGCAAATGCATTTCTATGGCACAAAACCCCAGCAAAGCAGCTCCCTGCAGCGCTGTAAACCCAGCTGTCCCAGCCCCGCGCGGCTGCCGTCGAGCCAGCAGGAGAGCCTGGACGAGCCACAGGGATCCTGTGCCCAGGGCGGGCCGGGAAAGCAGAAGAGGGGCTCACCTCCTCCTCGCCATGGGGCTTCTCGCTGCTGGTCCGGGGAATTTCCCCCTTCTCCTGCTTGATGGCGACCAGGAAGTTTCCATGCTGGCCTTTGCCGGTGGCATGTCTGCAACCAGAGAGCTCGTGTCACACTGTGGGGAGGGAAAAGGCTGAAGCGCAACTGCAGAGACGCTACTGGGATGGCATTGCTGGTGCACACCGCGACGCCCTTCAGCACCTCCTGCTGGGAGGGGCTGGGAATGCAGGAGCACTGAGCTTCCCACGCAGCCAGCACTCTCCACAGCCCTTCACAAGGGCGACTCCTACCGGGAGAAGCTGGGATTGAGGTAGCTGACGGCGACGCCCTCCCAATGCCAGAGCTCCCACGCCCTTCCCCACAGCAGCCCTACTGGGACCAGCTAGCACTGTAATAACTAAGGGGCACAACAAACCCCACCAAGACCAGCATGGCCCAGGGTAATTTGGGGCACTCAATGCACACAGGTTACAGCCCAAATCACGCCCTCTGCTGGCAGGTCAAGCAGCTGCAGAGAAGAGTCAGAACGAGAAGGGTTCTCACATGACCGAGAACTGGATCTAAAGTTATACTCCTCTGGGCACCAAGTCCAAGGGCCATCCATCAGTCCTTGTACCCAGCGCATCCACTACTCTATGGCTGGAGACAACATTCCACCCTCCCTGGCTGAGGGAGAGAAGGAAAGGGCTGGTGCTGGTGCATCATACAGGAGAGCTTTGCCTTCATCTGGAGCATCTTACACACGCCACAGTCCAAGGCAGAGCAGCAAACTAGGGCCCAGGTCCCGCAATCAGATATGCCCCCACGGAACCCCAGCGGTGCTCCACCCGAACAAGTCCAGTTACAGGATCAGGATGAGTGAAGGCAGGAATTAGAAATCCATGACAAATGCAAAAACGGGGAAGTAAATAGCAGCAGATATAACTCAGCAGTTATGAAGTACAGAAAATTAATAAGGCAAGCTAAAGACATCAGGGGAAAATCCATGGCTGGCAAGGCTAAGGACAATAAGAAGGAATTTTTTTTAAGTATAAGAAATCCTAGCAAAAGTACAGACGCATTACTAGATGGAAAAAATAAAACTGTTCATGATGATGCAGAAAAGGTTCCGCATTTGGAAAGAGGCAGTACGGTATCGTGTATCATGTGAGCATGACGAAGTACTTTTGAGTCCATTAGCAACTAAGGAGGATGTTAAACAACATCTGCTAGGGATAAGTATTTTTAAATAAGCAGGCCTGGCGAACTTGCACCTAAGAATCTTAAAAGAGCTGGCTGAGAAGATCTTGGAGGAGATGTTAATTTTTAGTACGTCTTGGAATACCAGGGAAGTTCCAGAAGACTGGAAAAGAGCGAACTTTGTACCAATATTCCAAATGTGCAAGTGGGCTGACTCAGATAACGACAGGCCTGTTAACCTGACATCAATCCTGTGCAAAATAACAGAAAATACCAAATGATTCAATTGATAAAGATTTGGTGGATGGGAGCTTAATTAAGGCCAGTCAGGATGGGTTTATGGAAAACAGGTCCAGTCAGCAAGCCTGATTTCATTCTTTGAGATTACAAGCTTGGCCGATAAAGGTAACAGTGTAGATGTAACAGACTTTGGTAAGGTATCTGAGGTACTACTGCATGACATTCTGATTGAGAAACTAGTAGGCTCCACTCTCTAAAGCAATAAATGGATTAAGAACTGGCTAAGTGACAGATCTCAAAGGGTAGTTACCAATGGGGAATCACCATCAAATAGGGCTGTTTCTAGTGGCGTTTCAGAGGGACTGGTACTAGGCTTGATGCTAGTCAACACGTTCATCAATGATCTGGAATGAAATATAAAACCAGCGCCGCTAAAGTTTGCGCATGACACCGAGGCCGGCAGAGTGGTAACTAACGTTGAGGACAGGGCAGTCATACAGAGTGATCTGGAGCACCTGGTAAGCAGGGCCCAGTCAAACAAAACACATTTTAATACAACCAAATGCAAAGTTATTCATCTAGGAACAAAGAAAGCAGTGTTTCCAAAAGGGTTTAGGGGTCATAATGGAGAAGCAACTCAACATGAGCTCCCAGTACGACACTAAGACAACAAGATCTTTGATGCGCTCCTTGGATGTACAAACAGGGAGTAGCGAGCAGGAGCAGGGAGCTGATTTTACCTCTGTATGTGGCACTGGTGAGACCGACACTGGAACTCTGCGTCCAGTTCTGGGGTCCACATTTTAAAAAGGCTCTTGAAAAATTGGAGAAAGTGCAGAAAAGAGCCACAAAAATGATCTAGAAAAATGCCTTGCAGTGGAAGACTTAAAGAGCTCAATCGGTTTAGTTCATCAAGATCAAGTGCTGACTTGCTAACAGCCTACACGACCCTGGGTGAAAATCCCAGGGACTAACGGGCCGTTTAATCTGGCAGAGAGGGGCAGACCAAGAACCAATGGCTGGAAACTGAAGCCAGGCAAATTCAAATTAGACCCAACATTTTAACAGTGAGGCTGATTAACCATTGGAACAAACTACCAAGGGAGCCTCCACTTGTTGATGTCCTCAGATGAAGGCTGGCTGCCTTTCTGGAAGATGCATTAGCCAAACAAGCTATTGGGCTCAATCCAGGAGTAACTGGGTGAAGGTCTCAGCCCTTGCTGTGCAGGAGGTCAGACTAGATGATCTAATGATCCCATCAGGCTTGAGCTCTATGAATCTATTACCTAGATTTGATTGCTGTCAGGCACTACAGGGCCTGTCAGCATCACCGTGACCACAACAACAGTCGGCCTGTTGCTGTCTGGTAAGGGGAAAGAACCTGCAACACTTACAAGATCCCAGCGGCCAGCTGTTTTGCACCATGCGACATGACCAATTTCTGCAGACACCAGCTAAGAGCACCAGGAAATGCTCAGGCAACTCAGACCAGGCCACCTGTAACGTGCAATCAAGTTTCATTATGGACGTTTCAGCAACTGGGCAGCAGGGAGAAAGGTTATTGGAAACTGGAGGTAGCAAACCTCAAACCCAGCAGCAACTAAGCTACAATCCAGCCGAAATAAGGCCCCAGTGCCCACCTGGAACATCCCACTCAGGAGGAAGTATTGTCTCCTGCTCTGATGGCTCAGGACTCCTGGGTTCTATTCACAGCTCACATACTAGCTCATTGTGTGACCCTGGTCAAATAACTTCCCTTATCACCTCTAGAAGCAAAATGATAAATGTGCAAAACAAAACAAGGTAATTTAAATTGCAACCTTAACACTGCACCGGAAAGAAAAGATATTCAAGAGATACAATAATTTAAAGCAACATTGGCACAGCACTTCATACTTAACAGTCTGACTAGCAGCTGCCTTTCTGTGCAGGCCAGGAGAGTGGATGTTGCTTGGGGAATTTCCCAATTGAGTTATTTCAATTTATATAATAAAAGATGCTCATATGAAGCTCTAGGTGCCCTGATCCACAACCCTACTAAAGTTCAAAAGCATTAACACTATAATGTGAATTACTATCTGCACTCTCAGAGTGCTTCATGGGCTTCTGCAACCTGGGGAAACTGGGGCACGGAGGCAGGGAATGACTTGTGCAAGGTCACCCAGTGAGTCAGTGGCTAAGGCAGAAACAGAATCCAGGCCTCCTGGCTCCCAGGCCCTGCACTGAGCATGGGACACAAGCGGTCACTGCAACAGGAGAGTCACAGAGACACCCAGGAAAGGGGAACTGGGGAAGACGGGCAGAGAGGGGCGGGATGGGGAGCTCTGCCCCCCCCTTCTTATAGCCCTTTATTGACTAGCAAGGTCAGACTAGGGGAAGAGCGCGCCCAGCACTGGCCCCCCTCCCTGCACCATCTGCAGCAGCTCCTTCCCTGGGGCTCCCTTATAGCCCCCCAACCCAGGACCCCCACGCCCCTGTTCCCCTCCAATCCCTCAGCACCCCCACCTCCTCCAATCGCACAGCCCCCCACCTCCTCCCCCGCCCTCTCCCTCTCCCACTCCCAGCCCCCCTGCCCCCACCTCCTCCAATCGCACAGCCCCCCCCCTCCTCCCCCGCCCTCTCCCTCTCCCACTCCCAGCCCCCCTGCCCCCACCTCCTCCAATCCCACAGCCCCCGCCCCCCACTCCAGCCCCTCTACCTCCACCTCCTCCAATCCCACAGCCCCTCGCACCCCCACCTCCTCCCCCTCCAGCCTCCCGGACCCCAGCCCCCCGCACCTCCCCAAACTTCCCTGGCTCAGCAACCCCGTCTCTCAGTCTCAACCGCCCTTCCTTGCACCCTCCGTCCCGCCCACCATCGTTATGCTAATGAGCAACACACAGCTAGGACTCGGATTGGGCACCCTAGAGGCAATATGCAGATAAGGCAGGCGGTGATTGGCCAGGGCGGCCTCCGTCAAATGCAGAGGGCGGGGCTATGGAAGTGCGCTCTGGCTGCGTCAAGTTCGGTTGCGCGCGAGAGGGGCCCCAACCAATCAGAAATCGGTTTCCGGAGCCTCAGCGAAAGGAGGGTCTTAAAGGGCCAGTTACCAAATGTAATCAACTCCCCTCCCCCTTCCCCTGCACAAGCCCTAGCCAGAGTCTGTGACCCCCCACACACCCCAGACAGTCTGTGACCTACATCCCCTAGCCCTCCCACCCCCCATACACCCAGCCCTCCCACTCCTCCACAGGCAAGTTCTGTACCCCCACACACACACCCAGCCCTCCCACTCCCCCCCACAGGCAAGTTCTGTACCCACACACACCCAGCCCTCCCACTCCCCACAGGCAAGTTCTGTACCCCCACACACACAC